TCGGCCTATAAGAGTCTCTACCACACTGATGCGTTTTGTGCAAAAACTGAAGAAAAGCTGTCATCTTACAGGCTGAATATGACCAGCACCAAGGCCATTTAGTGCATGTTTTTATTTTTTCAGAAAATAAGACTGTTACCTCCTACCTGATTTAATTATCTCAGGTTTTTATAAGGAGTTTTCAATTTTGCTCTGTTAAATTATGCTATTAGGTGGTGTGTATTAAAAATAATAAACAGATGCATGTTTGGTTGCTTGATTAAATAGTTTGATGGGCAAGAGAGCTAGCAAGAGAGATAGATAGACAGATAGATAGAGCAGTGTACTTTTTGTACAAATGGAAACAGACAGGCGAGAGCAGCCAACTACCTGGGCTTGTTTCCAGAGACATTAACTCCCAGTTCCATCTTTACTGGACACCATCCTCAATTATTCTATTATTTCTGTTGACAATTAAAATGCAGAGATACAGAGCGGAGGGGAAAATGCTTTCAGTGTTTGAAAACATTTCTGCTATAATTCTGGCAGCTCTGTAACTGTGTGATCGGAGATATAAAACATTTTTAAATGTCCTCGGTCCCCAAGAAACTCCAAGTTTATCGAGCCCCGGTGCCTCAGTGTGACTTAATCATAGTCTCATTTGGGGACCTGTCTGAAAATGTTCAGCAGTACTTACATCAAAGCGCCATCTTTTCACAGTCACAGTGAAACGGTGAAAAAAACGAAGCCACTTGGAATAGTGAGACTGCCATTGGAAATGGAAATGGTCTAAAATATGTCTTTTTCTCTTTTTTTTTACAAGATAGTTTTACTTTGAGAAACAACCATTTCCTTCTAGAAGAGAAGGTGGGGTTGACAGCTTATAAAAGAAAAAACTGTTTTTCTATCAAAACAGGCATTTACCAGAAGAGTCCTATCTTTGTATAAAAGAAACCTTGAAAGCAGAACTCACCACAAATGTTCACCCATTCTGTGTTGTGTGCATTATTAAAGACATGAATAGTCCCCTGCAAGAGAGTGTGAACACTTTAGAGTCCAGTCCAAAAGCTGAAGTAAATGACAAGAAAGGGAAGAAATGCCTGTGTATGCATGTGTTCACTACAGGCCAAGCCTGAGTACACAGTAAATGGCATCATAGGGAACATGTAGCCTTCACCTTGTCTTTTGATTAATTGGCTGCCTTGACCATCCCTTCTGCTTTTTTATTGGTTGGTATAGTGTTCCAGATCAGTGCATGGTTTACTGAAACCACCCAAGAAATATGCTATCTTCTTACTTACATTTTTACCCTTCGGTATTATTTACTGCCACTTCCATCCTGTGTCTGAATCATATATAAGAAATACTCCTCTTGGAGGTTCAGTGGTCAGGGTCAGGTAGAGCACAAGAGGACATGAACTGAAAGGAGAGTCAATGCATGGTTAAGTGATATATCTGCCAGGTAGATGTGTACTCTAATGGTAGACCTGACTGCTTCAGGTGAGTAGAAAGCTGGGTATGATTTATTGCAGTTTGGGAGCATTTTTTTTTTTTAACTCTTGGGAATTATACAACCCTTTCTTAAATCCTTTGGAAAATAAAAAGATTCAAAGCTGCAACTTAAAAGGAATGATGCTCAGTGTTCAGGAAAAAATCCCAAGTACATTGGTCGTGTATTATTTTACAACTCTTTCAACAGTACTTTAATACCCAGATGAAATGGTCCAATGGCCACATTCTAAAAAAATGTAAAACACTAAACGCTTTCTTGAGTTCCTGACCTCTTCTTTCCGCCATGCTATAGAAAAAACACTGAGTCTACTTCCATGTGCTCGTGTTGAACTTCAGCAATGGAAATACTATGAGAGATATTAAATGTTTCCTTGAGATTCAGAGGGATATATAGGGCTCCATTTGACTGAGAAATTAACAAATGAAAATCCTTTTTTTCTTGGCTTCTCAAAAGCCACTTCATGTCTCGCTACTGATGACAGATCTGCGAAGATGCAATTTCTCACACTATTCTGATTAATTGAAGGTAGGAATCAGTAACTCTGCCTTTTCCAGGATGGATTTCCTCCTGAATTAACTGAAATTTGTTCTGCATATTAAGGATTTTGCTCTTTCTTAGACTAACATTTAACGATTTATGCAAATGCTGCTCTCAAACTGTTGTGAATGTGGTGTAAATGTGAAAATGATGCAACCACCAACCGAACTGATCAAAAGAAGCAATGTTCATCATAGGAACTTTTTTTGTACAGTGTTCAAGTGTTTTCGGGTGTGTTTAGCTTTCACATGTTTGTGGTTTAATGCCGCATCTCTGTCTGTGTCATGTTTCATATCCAGCCTGAAACGGAATAAAAAAAGATTTGCTCTAGACTTAAAGTAGAAGAGATACGCTGTTGTTAACAGGAGGAGGAGTTCAAATTAACAATGGGAATATGATTCTCTGGAGGGTTAAACACCCACAAGTCTGTCTACACTTGGCCTACATACCGCCCGTTAAAGACTTCCCCACACCAGGCTTTTCTCCGGCGCCGGTGCTGCAGAATCTTACTATCAGTTCCTCATGGGGATCCAGAAACAGTGCCGCAGCGGTGCAGCAGCCATGTGATAACTGGGACTTCTGTCTGTGGAGTGTGAGGCGCATATACACGGAGAAGTCTGAACCAAAGGTGCTGTAAAGCTGCAATGAAAACCCTCCATCACCATGCTGCACACACACCCTCGCTCAAGGGCCTGAGAGAGGAAGTCGTAGCAAGAGATGTAAAAACACACCAGAGCATAGTGCACACTTTGAACCATCTCGAAAGCAGAGAGGTTTTTTTTCTTCATAGCGGGTTAATGGGAAGAGATTGAGGGCTACATGTAATGGTGAGTAACCTTATAAAGAGGGGTTAGAGGCATATACCATGACTTACAATGTGCCCTTGTGCTACACACACACACACAGAAGAAAGGAAGAAAATGACAAGGTGAAGAAGAGGTATAGGTGAATAAATAGAAATGGAGCAGTTGTGCAAAAAGAAAAGGCAGTAAAGGTGAGAGAACAGGGAGGGATGGAGGTCTCATACTGTGGAAACCAAAGCAAAAGGTACAAAAATATTGATCTGGATATCTCTGATGTATACTCACTATAGCGAGAGCATATATACAGGTTAAAACTGTATACGCTAAAAGCGAGCCGTGCAACAGCAGCTCAGGTATAGAAGTGGACTGGATCAGTAAGGAAATATAAAAAAAAGAGAGCATACAATTATGTGTAAGACGTTTGCCACTGAATGCAACTAAACAGCCATCAGTGACCTGTAAGTAAGGTGTGGCAGCAGAATCCCTTGGTGTAAAATGAAAAAAAAAAAAAAAAAAAAAGGCCTTTTATTTTGTTTAAATTGGATTCATTATTTGTTCCAGAAGGAATGATCGGTGCTATTATTCAAACATTGCAACATTTGGCTTTCAGGGGGATTATCAGTTAAACAAACGTGTGTTGTGCTATGACAGGTTTGCTGTTTGGATTTTTCAATTGTTAATAAATAGTTTAGTGCACAATATGTCTGAAAGATTGTGCAAAAGATGTGCAAAAATAAGCAAAAAAACAAACAACAAATTCTTCATTTGTTTAGAAGTAACCAACAATATTCTATTTTACTGGGTTTTTTTTAAAGAGAGCAATTCTTCAGATTCTGGGAACTAGAACCAAAGCATTAGCAGTGAATGAATTGTGATAAATTACTAACATCGCTTTAGGTTCATTTGAACAAAACGTTCCTGTCGCACCAAACCCTTTCCATATCTGTCTGCATGTTGGTGAACAGTAAAACGTTAACAGCAATAGGCCATTAAATGAAAGCAAATGTGTTTCATGCAGCTTTGCAGCTTCCATGCCTTCGATCAGGGCGGATCTGGAACAAGCTCACGTAGCTCAAAGTATTCTGTGCTCTGGGGTTGGAGCTTTAAGGAGACCTTCATAAAGTTCAGCTGGGACCCCCTTGATGAGGGATGTCTCAGTCTGAATGTCACTGTCTTTAGCCACAGCTCGTTTGTTTGAACAGCTGGTAGCTGCTCTTCTCCTAAGAACTAATCAAAACGACGAGGTGACGTTTGATGGTACATGAAGTGTTAAGATGAGCGTGGGTGGTCTACATTCAACTAAATAACTCTGCATACATAGATTTGAACTATTGTTGGAAAAAAATCATTATTAGGCCCAGTTTAAGAATAATGTTCTTTTAAAAACACACAATGAGAAGTCTTATTTGTAAAATATTCTTTGAAACCTGCACTTTAAAATGTATTTGTACTGGAGATTACACACATTGAGTTGATCATATAATGAGGATCATTTAAAGTCACATGTTCCATTTCTTAATCATCTCTGCCATCTATATGTTTTCTATATGACTATAGGTATGAAATCACTAACTAAACATGTTTTTAGGTAATACCACGGAAACAATCAGATGAAAATTAATAAACTATTTGTCAAACTAAAAAAGTAAATCACAGAATGAAGCTTCTCTGATGTGTCAATTTGCTGTTGTTCTCTTTTTAAATGATTAATAACGTAATTTCATTTCTTTATAGGTTTTAGATAAGACTATTGGTCATATTTTATTATATAACAAATGACAACAAATGATGAAATAATGATGAAAAAAAGTTGTATCTCAACCTTCTTGGTATGTCAGGGTTAAACTCCAAACAGACTTCTTTAAGAAAAAAAATCAAAGCCATTTGTTTTTACCTCCATCAGTCACAAAAAGGACACAAAGGAGAATATAAGTGGACACCTATCAATAGCAAATACAAGCATCAATACATCTCCCCACTACTGATCAATGAGTGTTATGTAAAGACAGGAAGTGGCATTCACTTTCATGCAGAGGTGTTTCATCCCAGTTCTAACAGGAATTTTATGCTGACCTTTTCATTCCACACAATTGGCCTGTCGATATGCTATATGGGCCCTATACCTGTCTGCTTTGGCCTATGACAGCTAGAGTAATGCCGTTGCTTACCTTTGAGCAGGGGCAGCGGGGTGAGCTCCACCTGGGAGCTCTGGTAGCGGAACTGGGACGAGCTGTGGGACCTCCTCTGCCGGGCTCTGCGCATCGACCTCCGCGGGAAGCCGTCCACCTTCTCCGCGGAGGGCACCGAGAAGCTGGTGGTCGGCGAGGACGGGCTGGTCGGAGGCAGCTTGGTCGTCTCCATGATGCCTGAGGCGGTGGTGACGCGAAGGTGGCGGTGGCGGTGAGGGTGGCGGTGCGTCTCTTTACGCGTTAGAGAGGGCCGTGAAGAGGCGCTCAAGAGGACGTATGGGTGATGGAGGAGAGGATGAAGGAGGGGATGGATGGCTTTCTGAATCACAGACGGGTTATCAATGGATCAGATTGAATAAACGCACCGAATTGTTGCTTGGTGGAGGAAGAGGGGAGGAGGAGAGAAGGGGGAAGGGAGGAGGGGGGGGGGGAGAGAAGGTGCAGAGGCAGAGGAGAGGTAAGGAAAGATATTTTCTGGGTGTCCAGTCCCGTGATGTGATGTGATGTGCGCCTCGCTGTCTCTATCTATCAGAGCCGGACAGGAAATGGCAGCAGCAACATCAGCAGCATCCCTGAATCTTCTTTTTTACGCACAGATGAAAAATCGCTTGTGTATCATCCCCGTGGAGGAGTAGCCCACAGCTAGGCTACCAGATGATGCTCAGTCAAAGGCGCGTCTCCTCTCTCTCTCTCTCTCTCTCTCTCTCTCACACACACACACACACACACACACACACACACACGCGCGCCTCTTTGCTGCTGCTGCTGCTGCTGCTGTATGGCGTCACACACACACACACACTCAAGTCATGGGCCTAAATTTGGGATATTTATTTCTATAATTGATCATGTAAAAAAACCACTGCAATCAAGCACCGATCAACCTGCTACTGTTATCCAGGTGGGAAAAAAACAAAACAACAAACAAACACACGGATCCCGGGTCGGTTAGTCCTCGAAGATGATGGTTGCTTATCAATAAAAATAAAATAAAAATCAGTGATCGGTCCTGGCGGTGGATGATGATATCATAAAATCATCAATCTGGGCCCACCTCGGCTGCCGCATCACTGTTGTCCTTCTCGCTTGTTCAGACGGCCGCACCTGCTTCTCCTTTTTCACAGAGATGGAGATGGATGATGCTCTCTTCGCAGTTTATTCCACAGCCTCCGATTCCTGCCGTCCTCCCGTAACAGGGCGGTGTGGGGGGTGGGGGGGGGGGGGAAAGAGCGGTCCCCTCACCGCGCCGACATGTGCAGGATCCTCCTCCAGCGGCCGATGCAACACCGAGCCCTGCTGCTGCTGCTGCTGCTGCTGCTGCTTATACCTCCGCGGTGAGACAAGAAGAAGAACAGTCAAATAGAAGAAAGGAGATGTTATTCCTGAAAAGCAGCACCTGGAATTAAAAAAAAAAAAAAAGTCAGCAGGCCTGTGTTATATGTTATACAATAGCACCCCGTCTGTGTCTGTCAGACTGACGCGTTTCGCTCCTGTCCCCCCTTCTCGGATCCCGTTATCCGGTCGTACAGCACCTCGCCGAGCTTCGTCAATCCTCGCGTTGTGAGGAAGAATGTACCGGATACGAGGCACCCCGGATTTCAAAATAACATAGGACATGGTGAATAATAAAAAAATAAAAAATAAAAATAAAAATAAAAATAAAAATAAAAATAAAAATAAAAATAAAAATAAAAATAAAAATAACAAGGAAAAACTTTTGCTTTGTGAAACTAATAGTTAATCACCAGAATACCTATAATAATCACTGCTGCTATTCCTCTCTGTGGTTGACTTGGACTGTTCCTATTGCCTCATTGTTTGCAGTGTGCAAACTTAATGATACACCAACTTATTATTAAGGAGAAGCAAACAGTAAAAAGGTGTCAAAGAGAAATTCTACTTAAACAATGTGTTTTTAAGCTTTAAATGTGAGTTAGTGAAAGGCTTTTATCATTACAGTTCAGATAAGATGTGAGAAGCCCTTACGTCCTAGACAAAAATAAATAAATAATAAATAATAATAACAATAATAATAATGATAATTTTGACAAAATGTTTTACTCGTAAATAGATATGCAGCATACCTGGGTCTTTGGGGGTCCTCGGGGCAGTTGGAGATGGTAGAAGCTGTCTGTCTATTTTTCAAAATAATTGAAAATATAATAGTAGTAATTAGAGTAATTAGAAATTCAAATTAGTGTTAATATAAAAAAACAAATGATATGCTCTGTTTGTAGGTTCTCGCCCATTGTATCCCAAAATGTGACTCGGCAAAAGTCTCTAAATATCTTTGCAGTCATCTACACAAATTGCATAATCTCCCCATGAGCACAATGGTTGGTGAAAAAAAGTGTCCATATATATGTTTCATTCAAAACCCTTGAACAGCAGGTGCGTTAATAACGGTTTTATTCTGAAAAGATTGACCGGATGCTTGATCGTGTTACTCTGTCTGTCTTGACACTGATACCTCAGCCCAACGCTGGTTGGTGCAAGGAGAGAGAGAGGAAAAATGCTCCTCACTGCGGATGACGCTATAGGATGTATTTATTTATTTATTTACAATTTATTTATGTAGCATGTCTGAGCCTCTGAAACTCCTCTCATTTTAAACAGATGGCTGCTAACACCTAATCACCATTGCCACACCTCTGGCTATGGTCTCATTCGGATATGAAAAAGACATTTCCTTCCCTACCCTCGCTCATAGGCGATTTTAGGGGTTGGCGGGGGGAGGGGGGTGGCTTAAGCAACTCCAAATTTCATCTCAGCACCCTTGAAATAATAGTGAAACTTTGGAAATGTATTTGTTTTTTCCACCTCATTTAAATAATGTGCCATATTAAATAATTAACGATACTTCAATTCAACATATACCTCCCCATTTGTTGACATGTTAGTCAGTTGTAGTTTATTTCACTTAACTTAAAAAGAAATGGCTCAATTTTCTTTACATACTACACAGTATGTAGATTCAATGTTACAAGCTGTGCAGTCAAAAGTTGTTGATGCAAAATCCTAATGGTATTTTGCATCAAAGTAGGACATGGCTCAACTGAATGCCTTCAAAAGTATGTTCAAATAATATGCCACTTTAATAACACCTGTACAAATTAGTTTTGCAAACATCATTCATCTTATTAGAAAATATTTTGCGGTGTAAAACTCGTGTTACAATATTGTACTATTTTTGTTGTTCATTTGAAATAATCTAAAATGTGGGAGCATGTTTTTTCTTGTTGTTGTTGTTGTTCTAGTGCTTAAGCAGGAGGACTGAACACTTACAAGTAACTCCACATGGCACAATCTCTTTAGAAGCTGTGCACCCCTACGTCTGATCCTCAAATCGCCCCTGTCTGCGCTTATCAGTGTTTGAGTCTGACTCCACCCTCCTCCTCCTCCTCCTCCTCCTCCTCCCTTTCCCCATCTTCCTCGCTTCCCTTTTGAGGGGGGGAGTGTGCGCGCATGTGCGTGTGCGTGTGTGTGTGTGTTGTTTATTCGTGTTCTCGGGGTTGTAGTTGGCTTAGAGGATCAAGTCCAATCCATTGTTCCTCTCTGCACTAAGCCACTTGTTCTCCCTCTTGCTCCCTCTCTTACACGCGCGCTCTCATCTCCCTCTCAAGAGTCACACCTTGGCTGGCAGAGGAGGAGGAGGAGGAGGAGGAGGAGGTGTATTGTTGGCGTGTTTGCGCAGCCAGGTTTGAACCTCTCCATACTGTTCTTCACACTCTCTCCGGCTTTATCATCTTGTATCCAGTACAGGGGCGTGCGTTAGGCTACCTACCCACCCCCACCCCCACCCCCTCCTCCTCCTCCTCCTCCTCCTCCTCCGTCTCTATGTTGTGTCGCAGATGAGCTCAGTCGGTTGCCTTCTGGGAAAAACACCGGGGGACCGGCGAGTGACTGGGTCCCTGCTGGTCTGCTTCCTATTTGCTTGCAGGAGAGGCTGTTAATAGGCTACTGGTCTGTTTAGCTTATAACTACAAAAACTGTTCATATCAAGAGCCTACATTATACTTGGTGTAATTTATCAGTATAGTTCAATATAGGCTACTTATAGGCTCCTATAATCATAATTGTACGTTTCTTTGTGCTTTAAAATGCTGATGGAAGCATGCTTAGAAGCTACAAGCGACAAGGCATAGCTTACACATGTGAATGTTAATATTTTCATAATTGATCAATTCACAAAGTAAAGCTGAGTCGAAGGGTAATGCCTTTAGCTTTGCATATATTTGGTAATGTACTAAACAAAATATGCATTTGATTTGCTGTTCGAAGAAATGTCAGCAAAGGTTTCCCAGTTCTTCAAAGGGACATGTTGCAATTTGTGCCATTCAACATGCAGGGTATTATTACAGATACAATATTACACGCTGCAGTATCTCTACAGGTTCATGTAAAATATAATATAATTTTGCGGCCAGTGTACTACACAGCAATTACAAAATCCGGGTACTGTGAAGGTCTAGATTAAGATATATTCATCTGTATCAAAGTGGTAGAAAACCCTTGAATACAAAAAAGAGTGTCAACCCTAGAGGCACACCATTAGCATTACTCTAAATTGTTTACATCACTGGTTTTCAACTGGTGGGTCAGGACCCAAAAGTGGGTTGCAGAGTCGATTTCCGTGGGTTGCAAATGTATGCCTGGAAAAAAAAAAAACATGCCTATGAAGCACTTCTAAAACATGTTTGTTTTGTTCTGTCTCTTATGTTCTGTCACATGTTTCGTACTTTCTGAGTTCTAAACAAATCTCATTGGTTAAAAATGATTAGAAATGTGTGTGGTGTGAGACAGGGGATGTCGGGATGAGAGAGTGGGGGATGAAATGCAGCAAAGGGCCAAGACAGGATTCAAACCCACGGCCGTTGCGGCAAGGACTAGAGCCTCTGTACATGGGGGCGTGCAGCATTACTGCTATGCTATCTGGCGCCCCAGCAATCAGTGATTTTGATGTCCTATAAACCAACTTCCTCATACAAGACACAATGATGTGTCAGCGACTCAAAGCGTCCGGACCATGCTTCAAGCTGAAATAAATAAGTTCCTTACATAAACCTTTAACTTTAAAAAGCCAATAAAAGTCACAAAAAACAAGAAAGAATGAAAGCATTAGTGGATGAGTGGAACATTAAAGACTCCATTGTCAGGTGTAGTAGAGCTTCAATATATACATTTAATGCATAAGAAATGCAAAATGGTAACATCTCCAACGCACACAATGCCTCAGAAAGGATCAACTATATTAAGCATTTATTTCATATGGATCGACACATATAGTGCACAAAAAGCAGAAAAATACACACAAAAAATCCTCAGAAAACACTAAAGTGAAATTCAAATACAAAGTGAAGAAGCCCAGCTACTTTTTTAAAATCTCCCCATTAGTAATGATTTAATTAGCTAGTTATTCATTAACTTTAACACATTTACATACAGCAGTTATACCGATACAAAAATGCCTGTTCATGGTCCGTATTCAAGTGTTCCTTAATACACCATCATCTCATCTTTTCTCTCTCAAGGATCTGTGCGGGCTTACTGTCTGTGAAATACACGTCTTTAAGACAGACGGTTGGAAGGCACACGTTTTAAAAAATACAAACAATTGCAAAACTATCTGATCTAATACACACATTTCTGTTTTTGGTCTTACGTCAACTGCGAATGAAAGTTGTCAAATGCTTTGTGCATGAAGGATTGAACGACTAGGAGCCCCTGGGGTGATTAACACTGTCTTTTTTCATATTTAATTAAAGCTTTGATAGGCAAGAGTAAGCTCCATTTTGACAGTATTCAATCAGTTTTTTTTGTCAAAGCCATTCATGTGTGGATTTCTGTCAAGATGAGCAGCGAGTTTCAACAGATATTTAAAATGAATGCATTTCAAAATAAATCTTAAGCATGATTTTATTGAGGAATATACTTGGCCACCAAAAATATAAAGCAGATATTTAATACAGATGACCCAAAGTATTTGGATAATACCACCTGACACATTTTATCTGGGCACCTTGTGGTGTGTCAGGCTTTTTATCCCTATGTAGTCATCACCTTTGTCTTGTTGTGAAGTCATTCTTGCAGGTGAGTATAGTAGACTCTATTAAAACACCTATTCTAATTATTATTATCAGGATAATTAGAATACGTTTAAATAATACAATTCTGTTATTTCAAGAGAAGAGGAAGGAGCTGTATATATTTTATCACAGGAAAAGTAAATGAGAAAAATTGTGCTTGAAAAGTTCATCAGCAAGTTGACTGATTGTTTGTCTTGATTAAAATATTGGAGAACATAAATACATTTTCAGTAGCAGCGAAATGTTTAAGAAGAGGAATTTTGATTGTGCAAAACAAACGAGGTAAAAAAGAAATTAAAAGACAGAAGAAAAAAAGCGAAGTAGTAATGCCTGTAATGTGTTGCCATGGGCAGGTCGTTAGCCACTCATTCAAAAACTCACACGATCACTCAGATGGAGCCCAGATGGGCGTGTGTCCTAAGGACATTTCCTTGAAGTTGCAGGGAAGTGAGTACTCCACCCTGACTTGAAGTGTTGTGTCAACTGTCAGTCCATCATCTATGGACAAAAAAGAAGAATGCCTACCGCTGAGATTTTCAGAACAGAAAAGCTTGTATGCTGCTGGAATTAAGGTTCACATTTCATTTCCAGGGGCTTGTCAACAAGTAGCTAATTTTTTTAACTGAATTTGGCCTTTTATTGCAAAGTTGGACATTTTAGCAGCTTTAGGACGAGAAAATTGACTCCGGTACTTGAATATGAGTTTCAAATGCACTACTACACAATGCAAAATCGTGAAATCATCCCTTCAAAAAGGAAAGGGGGTGATATGAGCAACTGCCAAAACACATTTGTTCATTTTTGTTTTCATGTACAAATGTAAAATGGGAAAATGTGTCTTCTCAAACTTGTAAAACCTTGAATATTAGAGTTGTTGATGGAGCTGCTAAGTGCAGTGTTGTCACTATAATAAGCTGTGCTGTGGTTATTTAAAAAAAGAAAAAAGAACTCTCAGTCATCAGCATTGACTTGGTACCAATGTGGTTGAAAAGAACTGCCTTGCTATATGAAATGTATCCAATCATCGAATTCCAGGAGCTCAGAAAGGGCCAAATCTAACGAGCAATCCCCTGAATTTTGAAGTTGGAGTGGGGGAAGAGAGAGCGGCCCTTCAAAGCTGCTGGATGTCATCTGAGAGACATTAAGTGGACATGGGACTGTGAGCAGGGAAAGCAGGGGCGTAGAATTATGTGCGGCATTAGCAGAGTCTGGAGACGGCTCCAGGTTAGCCTGAAGGGAAACTGAGAGCGGCTGAGGAGCAGAACCTTGAAGAGTTGACGGTGGATCCGCTGGATTTCCTTTGAAGCTTCCTGGGTGAAGCTGTGACATACTCATTAGACAAGCTTGAGCTGCTTGACCTGTGTTTCCTGACACCAAAGTGGAGTATAGGGGCCCTACATTCGATGACGGACGTAAAAAAGAAGGTTGTTTCGATGGGAAGGCATCGAGCGCACAAGGAGGACGTGGAGAGAAACAAGCTTTTCCTGAATCTAGAGAACTGTCAAGGTGTGCGCCTTGCCCAGATTTGGGCTGAGCCGGTGTGGCGAGAGAGCTGGGGGGTTCTTTGCTTGAAATAAGTTTAACACGTTTTGTCATCCCTGAAGCGGTTAGGGATGGAGGAGCTTCTCTAAACAAAGAGTGAGGAGGCGGGACTGTAGGGAAAGGCATAGCATAAGAACCAGGGATAGAGCTGGAGGGAGTGAAGCGCTGAGCGGATGAGACTAATGATGGAGCTGTCGGAGCAGGAGTTGAAGATGTGAGATGAGAGCTTTCTACAGTGTTGAGGGTTTGGAGACCAAGGCCGGAGGTCGAGGAGGTAGAGTGCGAGGGGGCAGCAGCTTGAGTGAAGCTCGAGGCCTGAAGAGGGCTGGGGCCGGTCTGACAGTCGGCTGAAGGGGAAACTGAGAGGTAGGTTGTTGAGCTGGATGCAGAGGCTCTGAGGGTGCAGACAGGCACGTGGCGCTCCAGAGCCGTCGTATAGAGGTTGAAGTCTTTCTTCAATGAGGCGATCTCCTTCTTAAGGGCTGTATTTGATCGCTCCAGAGTCTGCAGCTCCTGGGGAGAAGAAGGGGAGAAGGAACAGAGCTGTAGGGTCAGACAGAGATAAAAATAAATACACAAAAGTGCAACAGCAGGGGGGTTAGAAATGACTCATGTCGAGTTGAGTCAGGTTTATCTTTATTATCCCTAAGAGTGGTCATCTTCAGCTATAAAAACTGATTAAAGACATATATCAACACCAGGCCTGCCCTGTGCTTTAATGAAACACAAGAGTCATGAACTTCTTATGGCACTCTTCTTTAAAACTCTTCTCAGGCGCCGTGATAAAAAAGCACAACAGCTACTGAGCGGATGATGAGCGGTTCAAGTCGGCAACCTCGAAGGGGAACTGAAATATTGACAGTGCTGCAAGTTCACCATGAGAGAGAGGCTAAGGGGTAGAGGGAGGAACAAGGCTGACTCCCCTTACAAACAAAAACCCTGTGCTATACAGACTTTTAAGAGCCAGTTTCTCGTGGTTAACTGTTAACTAAAAGATTGCTTTTATAGCCTTGTAAAGTTTGAGTGCAATCTGAAAACAGTTATCCTCCATAACGGACGATTCATGGCCATTCAGCTCCAATGGCCTAATTCCAGACTACAATAAGAAGTGGTTATCCCTGTCAGATAGATACGATAAAAAGTCACAGAGGTCGCTGAGACATGGTGAAAGCATAAGCAGAAGTTCTAAAGTTATATTTCACATGCTTAAACCATGACCTGCTGACACTGTGTTGTCAGTATTGTGTCAAGCTGGTTTATGGCTTCTTCAGAATAACACGGTGAACAAAACAGAAAGAAAGAAACTGAAAGTCTGGACTTCTTCCACAAAGACACACCCACCCATTCACAAATCGAGTGAAAAAAACCAAAACTCATCCAACTGGTTATAACAGGAAGGGTTAGAGTAGGAGGACGATAAAGCAAACAGTACCTGTGCTAACGTCTTTAACGATGAGGTTCTGTGCATCACCTTTACCCGACATAATGAGATGCACCACACTTTATCTGAGTGTCAAGCGTAGTCAAGCCTTGAAATAATACAAGGTCGCCCTGGTTTTTGCGGTGTGCTCTAGTGCAACTTTTGGGCCAAGACGTGTGTCAGGGCCTGAGGATAAGCAGAACCCTGTTAGAACATTTGATCGATAATCAATAATCAATGAAGACCAAACTTTACTTTCACTGACACTTCCTTAAACACAGAAGAGAAACACAAATAAACACGTTCTTCCTCAATGTCAACCCCTTTTTAATCTTCCCTATGAGAAGCATATTTCACAGAGAACTGTTGTGAACCTTTGGTTATTTCTGTTAGGAAGGCTGGACTTTCACTCAAATTTAAGACCAAATATGTCGTCTTTCAAGTTTGGAAGTCATTTTAAGCACATTTAACGAAGTGCTCAGAGTTGTAACTGTATTCTTGGAGGATGTTATAAATGTAAAAAAAGGAAAACATATTCATAAACTCTTTAACAATGGTGTACATTATTAAGTTTGTGAGTCTGGACATGTTTAGCTTTTACAAAATCCAGATACAAGTTTGAATGTTTACTTCAGGAGGCTCATTTTTGGTGTGAGATATGTCTCTGTGGAGCACAACATGTGGAATTTGACCCTCAGGGAGAAAAAAACGGTGAAGAGGTGGATGCAGCAACAGAGGCAGGACTGTGTGTGTGTGTGTGTGTGTGTGGGTGTGTGAGAAATGATGGGCCAATGGGGAGGGCAGAGGGAGGGAAAGCCCTTCTCCTAAAGCAGCGTATTTACAAGAAATGGCTTAGAGCATGCTGTGACATTACACAAGACACAGAGACACACACAAGTCTGACAGCCTGTGTGTGTGAGTGTGTGTGTTTGTGTTTGTCACAGGAGGGTGTCTTAAAGAAGGATAAGAAAGCAAAGGAAAGAATAAATATAAGGAGTGTATGTTTTTATACCTCATGAAGTTCGTCCGCTCTCTCTGTTTGCTTCTTGCGGCTCTTCCGTGCAGCATCTCTGTTCTTCTTCTGTCGTCTTACCCCTCCACGTCCCTCCTGTTGTACCTCTCCTTCTCTTTCCTGATAATTTGATTTTCAAAGACACATTTGACCACACATTTCAGGGGATAAATACACACTTTTGTGTTTATTAATTAAATAAGTCATCTGACTAACACTCTTATCCATCTTCCTTAAAGAAATCTTTTTTTAAAGGCACGGCATGTTGACCTTGACTACAGCACGACATCTTGATGCTGAAGGAGATTTTGAAAAGCATCATTCACATGGGTCATGAGATCAACCTATCACATGATGTGATGTGCTCTCGCAATTCAAGTGGGAAGCTAAATGGTAAGTGGAGTCGAGCTTCCAGTCTTCTGATGACTTAAAGTGTTTTTTACACCGCAGGTCACACCAACACATTCACACACTGATGGCAGAGGCTGCTGTGTAAAGAGTCCATCAGTGTTATCTAATGCAGTCATACACAGCGGTAGAAACTTGGGGTTTAATTTTCCGGCCCAAGGGACACATCAGGGGAAAGTTCAGGGGATCTAACCCCTGAACTTGACAGATGCACTAATCTACCACTGAGCCACAGCTGTTGTAGCACACGATAATCAGGAGTCAACATAAGGTCACTAAGGTTGAGGAGTGACGAACGGAGTCTTGATGGAAAATAGTTATTCCAGCTTCTCCATGAGAACTTTTAAACTTTCTATATGTCTTCAAAATCTATTTAAAATGATTATTTATTCATTAAAAAATAAGGGAAAGAGTACTTATCATTTTCTCTATCAAATATTTCCCCCTGCATTTCTGCCATCCAAAGCAGCATCTAGTTAGTAAATTGCAACTGAAACAAGAGCTACTGTAAATGAATCAAATCTGAGTTATCAACTATCAATCAAGTATTGACCTGCTGGTGTGAAAATGTCCATCATTCACTTTTTTTTAAAATATGCTGCTCTTCACAGATGTCATGACCCCTCACGGTTGAAACTAAACTGACAACACATTGCAATGAACACATTAAATCCTGCAATTTTTAGTCTTATGATATACCAGTAGAATCACTGTATTATTATTGTCATCACATCTCACATTTGGTGAGTTACCCTGCGGGTTCTAGCCCTGACTGTCAGAAGAGGTCATTTTGGATTCAGACTGAAGACGAGCGACGGTGTTTGGTAAGATGAGTGGACATAACAGAACCAAATTATTATGAGGCAGAAAAGAATGCTTGTGTTTTAAACTTGGACGTACAAAATTACACATTTGACTCATCACTTGTTTAAGCTTCTTATTTAGCACATGTAACTCCTCAGGTGATTCCCTGGTGCTTTTTGAAGCCATGACACTGAACAAATGAACATTTGACATTTATTCACTCATGGATAGTTGAGAGGAAAAGGAGAAAGAGGTGCAATGAAGACACACAAACGATGTCCCTTATCTTACACAGAACTCGAGGGGACTTTGTAAAAGGCCCTGATGGACACCCAAAGGTGACTGATTAGTATTTTAATAAGGTAATGCTCAATAGTAGCCTACTATTAAGGCTACGAATGGTGATTTTAAAGTGAGTTGGTGATAATAATGTTTCCATATTATGATGCAGCAACATTTTCTACAAAAATTGCTAATTACAACAAAATGTTCATAAATCAAAGCGGAATAAAAATGGAGGAACAATTCGTATACAATTGTCAGTTTAGTAGAATTTTCTTGACATTGATTTACACAAACAAAGTATTAATAATGAGTGGTATTATGATGTGGGGTCTTGTACAGACATGGCTGATCTATTTGATTGGATGATTCATGAGAAGGTTTTCTTACCGATCCAGCGTTGTTGCTGTGGTTCTCCTCAGCTGACATGGAGCTTGGGCTGTTGCTGTCGTACTGGGTGTCCATGAGTATCGGGGACATTTCGTCCAAAAACAGGAGACTGGTCTTGCCGACTGACCTTCACTCAGCACGGATCATCCGTGAAGTGTGTCCTCAGGGAGAAGGGATGCCATTCAAAATCTAGAAGTTGGCGCAACACCAGCGCGCCTCTCTGCAGCTTAAAGCGAAATGTGAATGGCTTGAGATGTGGAAAACAGAAATGCACGGTTCTCTGTGGGCAATGCAAAACGAAAGACACGTTGTTGCTTGGTAACTTCTTGAGTCTGTAAATGTATTACCGTGAATGCAGCACTCAGGCGGTCTTACAGCTTTTAGAGTGCAGGAGGTTTGGCACTAGACTGCAGATGATGCAACCAGGCGACGGGACTGCTTTCAGTTTCTGTTTCTTTTAAAATGACCCGTTGTACTGCAAAGGTAGCGGACGCTGTGCTGCCTTCAAATGTAGTAAGGAACGTCCTGTTCCCAAGACTGTGCCGACATGTTTAGGCGTGGAGAACTGGTGAAAAAAAAAAAAAAAAATGTTGTTTAAGCTGGAGGAGCACAAAAGTCAGATTGTGGTATTGAGGTTTTCCCTTTTATGCATTTGCTATTTAAAAGAGAATCTCAAACACAGACTATGTCACCTAGTCTTCAACTTCCCTGCTTCTCTTGTTCAGTCAAACGTACTTCTATGCATATTGTCCATTTCCCATTAAGTTTATATTATATAGATCCACTGTCAGTGAATGGTCAACCCCAGTGTGAATCAACATAGTATTTTCGATAGCACGTGAATGCCTCACGATGAATGAATGGGAACATATGTTATGGGACAGGAAACAAGGTGTCGGATGATGACCATATAATGAAGAAAAGTCTCTCCCCCCCCCCCCCCCCCCTTGCAGGGAATTTCTCAAGAGAGCATATTCCAGGAAATGAGAGACCAAGCCCCCAGAAAGCAGCCAAAAGCTTTACTGGATTTCAACAGGAAATGATGAAACAGAAGGTAAAATTAGAATTGGAGTCTATCATTTTTTATTTTTTTATTTACAAAGTAAAAAAAAAAATGATCAGAGTAGATTATTGACAGTCATAAATATTGTCTGTATGCTCGTATTGTTATTGCTCTGTTTGACTTCGGGCCTCTATATATAGGCTATATGTATTTATATATTTTTTATGTTCAAAATCAAATAAATAAACATAAAACACAAATATTTAGAATAGCTGATAATGATTATGTTAATGTATGTTTTTTTATGACATGGCATGAATTACTAAAGCTCGTTAATCCATGTGTATGATGACTCTTTACAAAGTTTGGCTTGTATTGGATATAGTGAGGACATCAGTGCTAACCATACCATGGCTCAGAAACAACTTAATCTTTCAACTTTATTATTAGGTGAAGATCATAAATTGAAGAGCAGAATTCAAACACGCTTGTGTTACTGTAATAACCACAAACAAATGTTTCTCGGGGTTTAAATCAACACGCCTGTGTCTTGCTCACACGTGTGGTTTGAACCTATAAGGAAACTGGCTCTTTAGTAAAAGGCCTACTTCTGTTTTTTTCAAAACTTCTGTTTCCAGGATTATCATTGCATTACGTTGACATTTGAAAACAGTAGGCCTATACATTCTGTTTCAATGTGTCCTATTTGTATTTGTTTTCTAGCTTTGACCACACTTTCAAACATTTTTTTTTAAGTTTTAATACATCATCTCTAGAGCGATTAAATAAAATGTTCAATTTTCACAATCGACGCATGGTGGCGCCAGCTGCTGACACGCAGAGGAGCAGAGCATCGAAAGGCCACACCTTAAAATGCCCACTGACCAATCACCAGGCTCCAAGCGTGTCAACAACCAATCGGCGTTCGTTTTGAGAAATAGTCCAATTGCAAACAATGTTGGGCGGGACTTGACTGTAATAGCCTCTTCCTAGTTCACAATGCTGCTTATGGCTGTTGAATATCTTTAATGCAACAATATTATTCAGCTGTTAAATCGTATTGAATATCACTGCCGCTGTCCGGGACTCCGTCACGATGGGTTTGCTGACGATTTTGAAGAAGATGAAGCAGAAGGAGCGGGAAATGCGACTCCTCATGTTGTATCCTGGCTGTATTACTTAGCTGGAACAAGTAGCATGCAACTACGCTTTTACAGTATAGCTCTATGAGCATCAGTAACAGCAGAGTTTTGAAATGTTGAAAATGAATTGATAGGGCCATTTGTTAGAGTTATTGGAGTAGTTTGTCTTTAACTCTGGTCCGTGCAGAGGTCTGGACAACGCGGGGAAGACGACCATCCTGAAGAAGTTTAATGGAGAGGACGTCAGCACCATCTCACCAACACTGGGCTTCAACATCAAAACACTGGAGCACAGAGGGTAATAATTATACATGCTCTGTCAGACACTCATTCTGCATTCATGTCCCTGTTGTGAACGATACAATTCAGTATGTGGCGCCGATTGTAAAGTTGCACACACCAAAAAAAATAACAACCAAAAAAAAAAAAACACTTTTTATTCAAATTTAGCCTTAAAAAAAAAAAAATATTTGTGAACTTTGTCATATTTACTTTGTGAATAAAAATGTAAGATAATTTCACTGGCAAATATAAATGTTAAATATCATATCTAAATGTTGAATGTTTTATCTACATTTTATTTTATTTCTTCTTTATTTCGAACGATTAAAAAAAATAGATGCAAATGAATAAAAGAAATGGAAAAAAATTACACATCTGTATAAAATAAAAAAATAAAATAAAAAAGCCAATTTCAATATAATACACATTTGACTCGTTTGAAAGGGGATAGGAAGAAGCCTAGGCTTGTCAAGTCCTACCCCCGTTCTTCACCATTAACAAATGCAAAATCCAATCAAATAAACTAGATGTTAAATGTTATATATAAATGTTAAAAATACATCAAACATTTAGCTACATTTCTAAACATTTAGTTTACATTCTATATATTTAGCTAAGATTGTAAATATTTATAATCAAAGCTAAATATATAGAATATAAACTAAATATTTAGCTTTGATTTCTAAATATTTAGCTAAGACTTATAAATATTTAGTTTATAGTCTATATATTTAGCTTTGATTATATTTACAATCTAAATATATAGAATATAAACTAAATGTATAGAAACTTAGCTAAATATTTAGAATCAGGACATGTATTTTTAACATTTATATATAACATTTAACATCTAGTTTATTTTATTGGATTTTGCATTTGTTAATGGTGAAGAATGGGGGTAGGACTTGACAAGCAAGACATGTATTTTTAACATTTATATATAATATTTAACATTTATATTTGCCAATCAAATTATCTTACATTTTTATTCACAAAGTAAATATGACGAAGTTCACATATTTCTCTAAATGTGAATAAAAAGTGATTTTTTTTAGGGCTAAATGTGGAGAAATGTTGTTGTTATTTGTAGTGTGCGTAACTTTACAATCGGCGACCCATAATTCAGTTCCCTGGCTCCTGGTGTTATACATGTTGGCTCTGCTTTTGGGGCAATAATTAACCAAAACTATCATAAATGTAATCAGTACACCTGTGCTTTTCTTACTGTGTTAAAAGTCAAGTCAAGTCAACTTTATATAGCACATTTATAACAGCCGAGGCAGACCAAAGTGCTGTACAGTAAATCAGGCAAAATACATTACATCCAAAACATCATAAAGACACGTAAAAGCAAAAATGAAAGTGAATTAAAACACAAAACAATAGTGAAAGTTCTAGTAGACACTGCTGCTGGGATAAAACACTCAACTAGAGGTAAAAGCCAAGGAAAGAAATGGGTTTTAAAAAATGACTTGAGCTGTTCAGTTGTGGCAGCAGATCTTGTTTTAAATGGTAATCTGTTCCAAAGTGTCGGAGCTGCAACAGAAAAGGCTCGATCGCCCCTAGTTTTGAGCCTTGCTTTGGGCACGTCCAGGAGCAGCTGGTTGGAGGACCTTAATGCTCTGGATGGAGCATGAACATGTAGTAGTTCACTTAGGTAATGTAATGATTTAAAAGCCAGAAGTAAAATTTTAAAATCAATCCTGTAGCGAACAGGAAGCCAGTGGAGAGAACGGAGCACAGGGGTTATGTGGTCCCTCTTTTTTGTGCCTGTTAGGAGGCGAGCAGCCGCATTTTGGACAAGCTGCAGGCGTTGGGTGGATGACTGGTCCAAGCCCATCCATCCAACGCCTGCAGCTTGTCCAAAAGTCCAGATATACAGTGGGTACGGAAAGTATTCAGACCCCTTTACATTTTTCACTCTGTTTCATTGCAGCCATTTGCTAAAATCAAAAAAGTTCATTTTATTTCTCATTAATGTACACTCAGCACCCCATCTTGACAGAAAAAAAACAGAAATGTAGAAATTTTTGCGAATTTATTAAAAAAGAAAAACTGAAATATCACATGGTCATAAGTATTCAGACCCTTTGCTCAGTATTGAGTAGAAGCACCCTTTTGAGCTAGTACAGCCATGAGTCTACTTGGGAATGATGCAACAAGTTTTTCACACCTGGATTTGGGGATCCTCTGCCATTCTTCCTTGCAGATCCTCTCCAGTTCTGTCAGGTTGGATGATGAACGTTGGTGGACAGCCATTTTCAGGTCTCTCCAGAGATGCTCAATTGGGTTTAGGTCAGGGCTCTGGCTGGGCCAGTCAAGAATGGTCACAAAGTTGTTCCGAAGCCACTCCTTTGTTATTTTAGCTGTGTGCTTAGGGTCATTGTCTTGTTGGAAGGTGAACCTTCGGCCCAGTCTGAGGTCCTGAGCACTCTGGAAGAGGTTTTCTTCCAGGATATCTCCGTACTTGGCCGCATTCATCTTTCCTTCAATTGCAACCAGTCGTCCTGTCCCTGCAGCTGAAAAACACCCCCATAGCATGATGCTGCCACCACCATGTTTCACTGTTGGGATTGTATTGGGCAGGTGATGAGCAGTGCCTGGTTTTCTCCACACATACCGCTTAGAATTAAAGCCAAAAAGTTCAATCTTGGTCTCATCAGAGCAGAGAACCTTCTCATAGTCTGGGAGTCCTTCATGTGTTTTTTGGCAAACTCTATGCAGGCTTTCATATGTCTTGCACTGAGGAGAGGCTTCTGTCGGGCCACTCTGCCATAAAGCCCCGACTGGTGGAGGGCTGCAGTGATAGTTGACTTTGTGGAACTTTCTCCCATCTCCCTACTGCATCTCTGGAGCTCAGCCACAGTGATCTTTGGGTTCTTCTTTACCTCTCTCACCAAGGCTCTTCTCCCACGATTGCTCAGTTTGGCTGGACGGCCAGGTCTAGGAAGAGTTCTGGTCGTCCCAAACTTCTTCCATTTAAGGATTATGGAGGCCACTGTGCTCTTAGGAACCTTGAGTGCTGCAGAAATTCTTTTGTAACCTTGGCCAGATCTGTGCCTTGCCACAATTCTGTCTCTGAGCTCCTTGGGCAGTTCCTTCGACCTCATGATTCTCATTTGCTCTGACATGCACTGTGAGCTGTAAGGTCTTCTATAGACAGGTGTGTGCCTTTCCTAATCAAGTCCAATCAGTTTAATTAAACACAGCTGGACTCCAATGAAGGAGCAGAACCATCTCAAGGAGGATCAGAAGAAATGGACAGCATGTGAGTTAAATATGAGTGTCACAGCAAAGGGTCTGAATACTTATGACCATGTGATATTTCAGTTTTTCTTTTTTAATAAATTTGCAAAAATTTCTACATTTCTGTTTTTTTTCTGTCAAGATGGGGTGCTGAGTGTACATTAATGAGAAATAAAATGAACTTTTTTGATTTTAGCAAATGGCTGCAGTGAAACAAAGAGTGAAAAATGTAAAGGGGTCTGAATACTTTCCGTACCCACTGTATGCTATGAAAGCAGGCTTTGTCTCAAGAAACGTATATTACAAATAATGAATAATTGCTTTAAACATTCAGAGCAAGGAAAGACCTCGTTCAGTCAAAACATATTATTTCTGTATTTCTTGTCATCTATGCAGAATCCTCCTTTGTAGAAGTGCAAATTTGGTCATGTTTATTTGGTGGTGTGCTCCTTTGTGTACCACATTAAGGAGATCATGTGTTTTTCCTAGTTAGCTCAATTATCAGGCCTTATTTTCCATAAAAGTCCTCATATTATGTGCCCCCCCCTCTTCCCACCTTCCTCTCTCTCTCTCTCTCTCTCCTAGGTTTAAATTGAATATTTGGGATGTAGGGGGTCAGAAGTCCCTGCGCTCTTACTGGAGGAACTACTTTGAGAGCACAGACGGGCTTATTTGGGTAGTGGACAGCGCAGACAGACTGAGACTAGAGGACTGCAGACAGGAGCTCAGTTCACTGCTGCAGGAAGAGGTATACGCACCACAAACACACACACACGTGTTGAAGTAATGGAAATGTGAATGTTAGGTTCAGTAGTTCATTGAAAATGTAATATAATGCAGCTATATTATATATGTAAGATAATGGGTATGTGTCATGTAAAGGGCTGCATCCTTCAGAGTGTGCATCCTTCAGAGTGTGCATGAAGGCTGATTTAGTTATTACAGCACATCGAAGACTGTACTATTTTGAAGGCTCCTTCAAACAGAGGATCCATCTGGTACATCCTTTGAGCCCCAGCATATTCCGATATTCATTGCGTGCAACCCCTACTTTTTTTGTAAACCCTTTATTTATAATCAAAGCATGGCCAATGAAATGAAAGTATCAAACTAAATAGTAAGAAGAAAAAAGGAAACGTCACGAATCAAGATACAGTGTGCAGCTTTGTAAACGACTGAATTAAGTTTGTCAGCCATTCATGAAGAATGGGACTCAGCGATTCCAGCTGTGCATTTTTTTTAAATGTAGGTTAGTGCAATCGAATAATGACAGATACTAATGTTTAAAAGAAAACAAAAGGGGCCTTAATACTTCTAATTATTATAGAAAATAATAGGTTGTGATGTTGGTTGTGTTGGCCAGTCCGGCGAAGCTTTTGTGGTTGCTAGGTGACAGGGACTGCGCTTCATAAGGGTGGGGACAGCTGGTGAAGCAAACGAAGAATCCCCCTTAGACAGGACCGTCTCACATCAGTTCACTCTGAGGCGTTTACACGGGCTAAGACGCCGAGTCCTATGAAGGATGCAGCGTCCCAAAATGAGATTATACTTATTATAAATCCATGTCTCATTACTTTCTCAGTGTAACAGATTTGTCGAGTTAAACGTGTCCTTTCCTTCATGCAGATGTTAGCTGGTGCAACACTGCTGGTGTTTGCCAACAAACAGGATTTACCAGGAGCCTTGTCCAAAGAGGCAATAAAAGAGGTGAGATATAAACCCTCATGACCGTGACATCACTTCAACCAGTTTTGTGAAGGATTCTTTTTATTATATATTAGTGATATTACTATTGTTTAAATGTTCATGTCAGATAACCTAATCACTGTTGTGTTTCCTGCAGGTGCTGGCTCTAGATCAGATCAAAAGTCATCACTGGTGTATCATCGGGTGCAGTGCGGTGACGGGAGAGAATCTGTTAGCTGGAGTGGACTGGCTCTTAGAGGATATTGCTGCAAGGATCTTCACCACTGATTGAATGTGTCTGATGTTACAGCATTGTTGTTTAATGCTAAAGCCTGTTTCTTTGATGTGCTCTCTGCTTCAATTCTCATGACATTCATTTTCAAAGTTACATAGTGGGGATACAGTGCAAGTATGACAACTTGTGACACTAGTTCATTTAAATACTAAAGCAGGGTGTTGCAAACAGAAAAGTGATGGTTCAGTTCCCTTGTCAAACACTGTTCAGATTTGTTCTGTTCCTAAACCTCTATTAAAGATTGATGCTTTTGAAAATGTGATTGGTTTCATGTGAGCTTTTACATGTCCCTGATACCTCAAGTACACCATCAATTTCTAGAGCATCTTATCATTATTGACCACATACTGTGACAACCATCCTCTAGAGCTGAGGACTAATGGCTCATCTACCTAACACTAGGCTGAAGTCTGATTGCCCCAGATTGAAAGCCAAACTCTTGAATGCCTGCAATCAGTTTAAACCAAATGTGAAGTATAATTTCAGAAAAATGTTTGTTTTGCATGTTTAAGATACATTGCCATTTAAGGTCAGTAGATTTAGATTATAGTGGAAGGTTGTGAAACCACCGCTCAAAGATGTAGTGATGACACAATATGTAACATTTGATGCTTTATTTGAAATCCATTACAATGAAACATTTGTTTCCCCTAGAAGATCCTTTCCCCCAGGGAACAGCGGTGGTGTTAGCAGCTAGTTGATTTTTCAATCTGTAAAGAAAGACACCATTTTAAGTAAAAGGAAAAAATAACTTGGCATTGTTTAAGATAGTTTGGATCAGAGGGGATACCAATCAGTCATGAATCTTCAGACTGGGGCGGTAATAAGTAACTCATCACTTCCAAGAAACTGTAAAAGAAATCAATTCTTACCATAGAAGGCGGCAGATCCAACTGGACTCTAAAGAAAAAAAAAAAAGAACAAAAACTTTTAAACTACAGACTTCTGCACAACAGAAGTATACAATTCAAAGTTCTCAGTTTGATCAGAGGGGATACCAATCAGTCATGAATTTTCAGACTGGGGCGGTAATAAGTAACTCATCACATCAAGAGAAGCTTAAATAAAAAAACTAAATTCTTACCAACACTCCTTAGAAAGCAGCAGAGCCAACTGGACTGTAAAGAAAACAGAACAATGTTGAAAACTTGTGCCCAACACAAATATACAATTCAAAGTTTTCATAGTGGTTTGATCAGAGGGGATACCAATCAGTCATGAATTTTCAGACTGGGGCGGTAATAAGTAACTCATCACTTCAGCAATAGACTTTACAAGGCTCTCAAAATACTCACCACATGCAAACCATGGATTGTTGACTTCATGCTGCAAGAAAAAGAAATCAAAAAAGTTTTAAGTCCATTTTGAAAGGAAAGCCAAACTTCTGGGTTTTGGCTTCTTTTTGTTAACGTGCTAATTTTAAGTATATAAATATAGTCAGCAAGGGTCTTATCAGTGATTTGTTCTCATTCTCCATCAGAACCACAGCAGGTCACCTTACACCTGAGGTCTGGATCAGGGTCCTCAGTGCCGGACTGGGTCAACAGGAGGGGAGGAGATCACTGAGCTTCATGGTGCTTCCTTTCATCATGTGTACAGAAGCCTCAAACTAACACTGATCCCTAAGCTGTCATATATTTACCTGCATCAGTTCCAGGTGTGTGCTGAGCCAGACTGAGACAAGTAGAATCCTCACACCTGCAAAAAAAATAAAATAAAGGTTAAGTCAACCCAGTTTGATCAGTGTGACTTTTAAATCATAATTCCAGTGCCATCAGAGGGGATACCAATCAGTCATGAATTTTCAGACTGGGGCGGTAATAAGAAACTCATCACATCTGCGAGAGGACTGCCTCAACATTTACCACAGTCATCAGATACCCACCTTGTCTCTGGCAGGAACTGGACACTTTGAGGGAGATTGCAGTGGAAACTCAAGTAGTTGTCACTGAACATTCCCTCAAAGGCATTGCATGTCAGATAAATCTTGGTCATCTTGCTCCCATGAAGAGGCTCTGAATTGTCTGGCAGTGTGGCACTAAAGGATGTATAGCAAGGAAAGATTGGTTACATATTTGCAAAGAAAATACAGCTCAGAAAAATAAATCTACAAGTCCTGAGCAAGAGTTTCTTTTTTTCCCTTTAGGACAGCCTCAAATCTAATCAAGAGTGAAATAGTAACTAATCTGAGAATAAGAAAACATTGTGTCAATTTTGTTTCCATTCAGACTGTTGATGCCCAACAGGTCTTCCCCTTCTTGCCAAGGTAATGCCAGTGGGTCCACCTTTTCAGGTTCTGGCAATAACACAAGGCGTAAGACGTGTGCGGGTGTCATCACCAAGGAAACACAAGCAGCTATTCTACAGATTTTAGCAGTCCTAGTTGTGTCATCTTTGCCAGCTTATTTGGGACTCCCAAACCAGCCTATGTTGAAACTCACCTTGGCAAACACCTCTCCAAGCGATATGAGAAGATTCATCTTCTGAATTGTTCCAAAGACAAGAACCTGTAACAGACGAGTGGTCAGTTCCGAGCACCAAAATGATGTTACATTTCATACTACGGTTGCCTTTCACTGATCAGAGATTCCATTTCTCAACAGGAGTTCAGACGAACGAGATTCCAAATATATCTCATCATTTCCAGTGCACTGGTACTTGAGGAATTTTACAGAGTTTCTAACTTAGTGGGAGCTTACCTCAATCGAGGACACCATCATCCAGCTGCCAAAGCAGGGAACAAATCTGTTGATAGAAAGGCATTTTAAGTTGACAGCCAAAAAAAAAAAAGGTCTGACTAAAATGTTGTTATTGTGAAGTGCAGTTCCTCAGTTGTTCGTGTCGTTTCACATCGGTTCAAAGTGAGCTAAGTTCATCATCATTGGAACTGCATTGTGAAAAGAAATAGAAAGCTTGACTATCACAATGAAGACAAACTCACCATGGAGACCATTCTCTAGTGACAGCCCTGAGAAAGAATGGAATAATTCAGTTATGTTTGACAACAGCCTTTTGTGGCATATAAAACCCTCCATGTTTGATCAGGGCTTTGGTGACAAATTGCCATGCGACATTAGTCGTCCAGTTGTTTATGGGTATTAACCCATTTCATCCTCTCAAACAGTCAGAAACACCTTGCGTTTGAATTCATTACTCTTAGTGCAATGCTTTAAAAAAAAAAACTAATGCACTAAATTTGTTGGAAGGCATTTCTTTAACAGCTAGCTCAAAGCTCCTGTTAAGACTCACATGTTGAAGGTCCACAAGGCAGCCTGGCAACTTCTTAACGTCCCATCTGGCCAAGAAAAGGAAATAAAGTAAATCTCACATTTCAAAGTATAGTATATCTTTCTGACCATTTTAATTGAGGGTAGTCAGAATGAATGTTGACATCACTTTAATCAGGTATATGCTTGTCATTCATTATAGTCATCACAATAAAACCCCATTACAGAATTAATCTGAACTAATGCAATCATTTACTCACCGCAGAGATTAGGTGAGCCACTCTGGAGAGTTCAGCTTGCAGAACAGCCTATAAAGATAAATCCACATTTAGTCATACTCAGAAATTAACACATTTTGTTTCCATTTTAGGGCTGATCAGATTTAAAATTTAGCATCATTAATGTCAGGCATATGCTTGTCTTTTTATGAGAGTCATCAAATGGAGCCCTTCTTCAGCTACACATCTTTAGCGTTAAATCACGAGAGCTCACCTGCTAAGGTAGCTCCTGTCATCCTTGATCACCCTCTCTAACATCTGATGAGAAGAAAAGTTTACATTTCACAACAGAACTTTGAACCGTGTCATGCATGACTCTCTTTAACTACAGTTGACATTCAGGTCACTGTAACATGCTACTCAGAATCTGGTAAAGAAATTTCTTCAAAGGGTTGATTCTGTTAGAGAGAGTTCTTTGATTCATCACTGCAGCACTGAGCTCCTTTACAGCCATAGAGAGAAGAGCTGAGCTACAGCAGCAAACTTTATTAGTTCAGTCTTCAACACGATAATTACCTCTGTGCCTTGTTTCCCACAATCTTCTTGCACCTATGAAACAAAAAAAACAAGATAATTAAATGGGTTCAAGTCAACTTTTGTGATGCTCACTTTAAGCTCTTCATGCTACTCAGAGGTTGAAGTTAAGTTTCCTCAAGATAGATTCAGTGAGAGAGTTCAAGTTGAGCATCACAGTAGCATGAGGCTCCACAATAAAACTTTTAATGTACACTAATATTTAATCATGCATGATGGAAACATAAAAGATAAATTACCTTTACTTGATGTAGTTTCATCAGCGTTATTCGCCATCTAAGATTAAAAAAAAAAAGTTGCAGAGTTTAGTTTAAGCATGCTCTGCAAGCAGGTCGACTTCCTGTGTCTGGCCAACACGTGGACCACTCGGTGCAGCGTGGTCAAGAGTGGGTGAAAACAGGTCACTACATCATCAAAAGCGTCTCACATCAGAAGTATAAAGTACAATCACAGTCATTCAGGACAGGTCTGTGTATTCTCATCATTGAGAGACGCTGGTGCAGCTGCGCAGAATGAGCTGCGGCCATTTCAAAAGTAGTGTCGTAAATGCGTTCAGAAACGAATCATCTACAAATATGAAGTGCAAGAATGTTGAAACACATCCACTATGTTATTAAAGTCATTAAAAAGTTGATATGAAACTGTTTAGAAGGCAGATGGTGAAGGATTGCGACGAGCTTTGGCCCGTGCTGCTCTGGGTAGGCTACCCCGCACATCAGCCCCTAGCCTTCACACCGGTGTAATCTTTAAACAGGGATTAAATAAATAATCTGAAATGCGAAGGAACTATAGTGCGAAGGAAAAAGCTATCCAACTCTAGTTTGTACAAATCTGCACCTTAAATAAATGATAATAGTGCAGAGAGAGTAGTCTTACCATGAGCAGTGGAGGAGAGGAAGTGGAAGGAGGAACGGGGTCCGTCCGCTTTTATGTCCGACAGACTGGCTCCTCCCACTGGACGATATTGACCGGGAAAACTACTTTTTCCTTTTTGCATGACCAACACTTAGTATTAAAGACATTTAACCTGACAGAAACAACATGCTGTAGTCTAGTGAGCTCCACAAGAACTTTAATCTTCAGTACGAAGAAGTCTTTTAAGAGTTGGCAGATTTTTTTGCAGGCCTACGTCATTTCCGTTACAGAAAGTTGTATTTCTTACTCCCACGTGGTGGCAGCAAAGATGGGCAACGAAATGGCTTTACATGTGGCATTGGACATTTTTGTGTTTAGCTGGTCTTCATCAGATGCAGAGAATGGATTTCTGGCAGGACCTTATTTACATTTAACACATACAGAGGAGTACAAAGAGAGGAATTCATCTTCACAGGTTAAAAGGTCTTAAATACATGAAGCATGAAGGCCAATCCAAAACATGGAAGTGTCCCAATAAAGTACAACATCAAAACTAATGATGCCAGAGCTGTATTATTATATTTATAAAGCTGTTGTTGAGACATGGCCTTACATTTGTGATGTTATTTTATTACAAAGTTGCATTAGATATACTTACACATTATTAAGCTCTATGGTGTCCTATCGAGATGTTTGTTGTACACATTCATTCATTCTGATTTATCCATGTATTAATGACTGACATTGGCTAATCATTATCCAGAAAGATCTATTAAAACTGCATTTGTCAAGACAAAAAAACAGACACAACCAGTACAATAAATTAAGTCTTTATTTACTCAGAGTACTTCTTCAATTCATGACTTCAGAAGCTTCAATTATGAAACAAAATATTTTTTAAATAAAAAAATTAACAAATTTTTAGAAAATCATTATTTACAACCAAAACAAGTTTCTCCACTTTTTCAGTCTTGTCTACACGGTTTAGTAAGTACACTTGTTGTAATGCAAGGAAAAAACAAATACGCAGCAGTTTAAAGAGAAAAAGTCTATTTTAAGGATATCATATTTAATAAGGGTTAATGTTGAATAAGATTAATCTTGAATCAATTGTACATGTCCTCTTGTTCAGTAGCATTGATACCAAAATAAGTTATTTCATACTTTGTTTTAGTAAGCTTTGGACTGATCATTAAGGCTATAAATTCTCCTCTTTACAAATGAAACATTTTGTGCAGCTGCAATAGTGACAACTTGAAACTCACACAGTGGGCTCTATGTTAGTGCTTAATTATAATCAACTTGTAGCTCATTCTGTTTTTCTTCCTTCATGCACTGAAACATATGCTTGCCTGCTCTGTCCCCTCAGGTTATAAACCTTCACCAGAACACACAGAGAGCAAGAAACATTATTTCAACTCATTAGAGCTTTTGTGTGTTTCCGTGCAAACACTGATTGAAAAAGCCCTGACAACGTGGGTTGATACTGGTCAAAACTTCAATGTCTCCCCATATATTAACATACAGATGTGCATGTGTGTGTGCATGTGTTTGCTATGTTGATCACTATCGCAGGTTTGTTCTCCTATCATTAACTTCTGATCACTGATTAGCTACCAAACAGCAACAAAAGCATTGATTAACATACAGGAATAGATATTTCCACATCTTTAAGTCCACTAATCAGTCATAGCTATACGGTCGGAAAATTCCATTATGGTTGCACATAAACACTTTACTTGGGTCATAGTGCTTAACCACAGGATCCGTGCTCCAAGCTCTTAAAAGTGGACCAGATTTAAGACGTTAAGCATTTAAGACATTCTTGCAATGCTGACTAAATGCGTGAACAACAACATAGTAGAAAGGAACCAGAAGCAGCTGAACTCAGTCACACAAAGACCAGACTTTTCTATTTGAGCTAGTCCCATTGACTTCAATGTCAAATCAACAGCTTGGCTATAACAGTTAAAAAAAAAAGGAAATACCTGCAATGCGTGTGCAAATTGATGTACACCATGATGAGACAAAGCAGTAAACGTTATGATGAGTAATTCAGCCTCATTAAATTACATAAATAATAAATATGGCCTGACGATTTGAACAAGTGACACAAAAGTTCCAATGGATGTCTTAGGCCTGGTCGTCCATCACTGTTCTGTAACAGGGAAGATTATTTAATCATCATTTGAATGGGAAAAAAAATAAAGCAGGATTCATTTTATAGTTCATGTCGCTCTCCAGTTCTACTGAAATTCCGCCAACACAGACTCTTTCTTCTTTGACGCCGGTGAAGACGATGGCTTTGAGGACGATGTCACAGGTGTGAGAGTGATGCTGTAGAGGTTGGTGATGAAGGCCTCCCAGCCACGACGAAAAGCTCGGTCCAAGGCCTGATGGGAACAAGAGGAAGGGAAGGTTAGCGATGGAAATACATGTTCTTCAAACACAGCAATGTGGTTGACCTGAATATAACTGTTGTAGATATAACAGTGAAAGCAAGATACAAATCTCGGGAGATTTGTTGATTTGTACAGGTGCGTGCAGACTGGGAATGGGGAAATATGTTGAATGCCTCAAGATAACACCGAACAAATAAACTAGCCAGGTTAAACACATCAACTCGATAGTACTAGAGGTTACACTGAACAAAAAAAGATTGTTCTGTACTTCTTGGTCAAGTCAGCTTCTTGATTTACACTGAATTGGTTGAGTTCTTGTCTAGCAGACTGCCAGCAGCATCTAACAATCAAAGTAGATATGAACAATTCAGACCAAAACACATTTTTTAAATGGGCTGTAAACATGTTTATTTCTGCTGTCAAAATGGAAGTTTAGATATGGGGGACTTCCAGGTCTTTTGGAGCCAGCCTCAAATGGACACTCAAGAAATGGAGTTTTTGCACATCTGCATTGGCTTCATTTTTTAAAGGTTGCCGCTCAGCAACAACTTGACTTGACTTCCAGTGGAATGTTTATTTTATTGCTTTCCATAATCAGAAGTTGTGGATAGTACCTGGGGCTTTTTTTTTTGTATCTGAGGCGATACTGTAGCTGGAGCCATAACGCATTGCTACTTGGAGGACACAGGACATCCTGCTTTCTAAAATAGTAGCAATAGCGCTTGACCCAGATTTTAAAACAATGGAAAAACCATGTGGCCAATAGATGCAGATTTGTGTTTGTGACAAATTGAAGATGATGCCTCAGCACTGTGTTGCAGCAGTGCTCTGACAGTGACAATGCTTCAGTGTATATATTTTCCTTAGAATTCATTTAATTGTAATTGTGCGACTTGATTTTTTTGAAAAAAGGCAATGCCAACAATGTGATGAATAGGTACAAGCACAAAATGTCAGAGCACACCAAAGTCATTGGGATTCATCCTCCGGGAGCCCCTACCCCTAATGTCTTTACAAAATGACAAGCCAATGGTCACTGCCATCCCTAAGCCATACAGGCAGCTAATGTGGCTGAAGATGCTGAGAATGTGGATCTAGTGAATTATTTCCCCTTTTGCCATGAAGCTTCATATAATTACCCCGGAGGTCCCCAAGATAAACCTTCTGATTATACTGATTATAAGGGAAACTAGGGACAAAGCCCTGAGACTTGAGATCATTTTGGTTAAGTCTGCTGATTTATAAGCTGCAGTTTATTTTCAGAACGATTCCCATTAAAGAATGGATAAGACCTAATTCAATTTTCTATTGAATCATGTTTATCTTTTTTTCGACCTGAACCTGGAGGACTACAACCTGTGGAGCGTGCGCACTAACCACTAGGCGACCTAAATCATGTTTATCTTTTTATAGATCCACATGTGTTTCTGCCTTCTAAAAGAAGTTCACATTTCTGCATGTTCAGCTAAGCTAGCTGCATACTAAATGTTGGATTTCGTTATACTAGCAACTATGGGGCAAAAAAATTAAAGTAAAGAAAAGGGCGGTCTCTGTTGTCCTTACAGTGGAACAAAATTACATCTTTTAAGTAATCAAATAGAATAGAATCTAAAAAATGAAATGATTGGTCATTATAACGTCTCTGACTTTGTTGCTGCAGAAAACGATGGTATGATACCCTTATTGATTGAGCCAGACGCTAAACTTCCAATATTACATCCAGGTTTATAACTCAACGTCTTTGTTGAATTTGTCCTCTATCTTACAGGTCAGACTCTGAGGCCCCAGGTTGGAGATGATTGGCTAACAGCAGTGGAATGTTTTTATGGTGTGGTTTTAGTAGGCGGGTCAACACGGGCATACTTCGTTCCACTGATCAAAGGAGACGATATAGGAGGCACAGGAATGTCACCTCACTTCACTGCACGTGTTCCAATGGAAGCAGAAAATCTTAAGAAGCCTGTGAATCATGTGAAAGTACACGCAAAGCTCTCGCTCCGCTGATGGTTGTTAAAGCCTGTTAGTTAAAGTTCTGTTCCAGTTTCATTATTTTCATGTTGTTAAAATGTGACGTCAAGGAAAAATCCTACCACAGGACATTATCTAATGCTTCGGTGACATGCACCAATGGCTGATGCACCTTGACCCCTTGTGGAAGTCTGTAATTAAGAAGATAGTTTCCATGGCGATTAATAACCCAATGTGCCGATGATGTGAGAGAACTTTACCCCTCTGTTCAACAAACTCTGTCGACTCAGTTATGTAACCCTGAGGGGCTTAAAGTTTAACCAGGTTGGGTGATCCCAAATGGAATTTATGTAAATGTGAGAAACAGAAAGCAGAAGTTCATATTAAAACAAACAACAGGAAGGCTCTTGTTTTGCTTATCTTTTTTCAGTTTCCTCTCACCTTGCGGTAGTTTTTCCTCTTCACCATCTTCATGCCCTCTTCTTGCTCCCTCTTTATCTTCCTCTCCTCCTCTCCTTCCTCGTCCCTCCCCCTCTTCTTGTCTCTGATCAGGACCTGGTCATCTGCGTCCTCTCGAACTGGGAAGTGAACGAGCGTGGGCTCCGTCCCTCTTCCACCCGTCTCTTTCCCTTCGGCCATATTCTCCATCTTGATCTCGATCGTCACCCTGCTGTCCTCCAGGACGGGCGAGT